CTCCAGACTCCTCCTTGTCCTTGCCATGGGTCTTCAGCCAGTCAGCCTCCTCATGCAACTCATCAGAATCAAGCTCAGATGAGCCCAAGTCTGAGGGGGACACCACCATTCTGAAGCCATATGATTCATCAAGTAGTGACTTGAGGGCATCAGCAATGTGGCCTGAGTTTTCAACTGTGGTCTCATGGAGCTCAAACAGGCTGGCCAAATTGTTGGCAATCAGCCCTGCCATGTCAATAAGGTGCTCGAGCTTGTCTTCCAAGCCCAAGTACCTATCTGCACTGGCCTCCCTCAGCCTGCTCCCACTGGCCATGGGCTCATTGAGGTCCAAGACCTTGGCCAGCCTCACACTTGTCTTCACCCACTTCTGTTTGCTGGGCTCAGCTTTGGTGTTTTCCTCATTGACCATTCCTCTTCTTGCCTTTGTCAACCCTCCTGATGGCCTTGGGACTGGCCTCAGCATCCTTCCCATCCCTGGGCCAGTGACACTTGCCTTTTGATTGGTTACATCGCACACAGGCAATATGCTTCTTTTTACCATCTGTGATGAACTTGCAGATGGTTTTGGCCCAGGCACAGTAGGTACAACTAAGAGAATTGTCAAGAGGGGTATGCACAAGGTTGGAAAGCTACTCACCTGGGGTCCATGACCACCTTCTTCACCTCCCCCCCAGCCTCATCACCCTCACATCTCTCCTCCTCCTCATGCACCCTTTTCTCCCACTCTGCCCTCTCAGCCTTGGCCTTCTCCCTCACTGCCCTCTTGGCCTCAAGCTGTGCCTTTTCTTCTTGCCAAGCTTGTTCAGCCACCTTTTGTCTCTCCCTTTCCTTTGATTTGGCCTTCATCACCTCTTCCTCATCATTGGTGTCATATCGGATGGCATCATCAATACCTGGGTCCAGTCCATGATGACCTGGCCTTCATGAAGAAGTTTGTGGGGTTGCAGAGGGGAAACCCAGAGAGGAATCTGTAGGGAACCTCAGTAGTCTGTCAAGCTACTAATATTGAGTATAGTACCTGTAGGGAACTATACAAGTTAGTAAGGGTATTCTATCTATATAGAAGTGTACTCACCCTCAGTAGTCTGTCAAGCTACTGAGGGACTAGGTAAATTTTACTAGTGTATGAGTGTGCTCTAACAGCTTATGTAAGCGACATGATCACGTGCCTAAGTCCAAGTAAGGACAGGGGTCATTTCACTCCAACACTTCATTGTTGTTGTCAGTCATGGTGATCAGCCTCAATTTGGACATGATGGATAGGATGTGAAAGAAAGATGCAAAGGGCTTAGTGGGCTACAAGTATCACTTTTTCAAACTCAGCCCACCACTCTTGCAGGGGTCTCATGGGTTCAACCCCTAAGAGGGGGATACTGTCATAGTCATGTCTTGACCCTGGCTGGACTCAGCCTTGCACTCATTCAGTCCAGCCTCAGCCTTGCCAATCCCTTATCCCCAGATGACCTAGTGTGGTGAACACTGCTTTGCAGTGTGTGTCACTTCAGTTGAACTCTGCCCTGTCCTGGTCTCTGTTACCTTAGTCATACCTTACTAATACTTGTCTTACTAATCATCTTAGCAATCTTTGCAAGACCAGCATTACTGGTCTCCATACTATAGCTACTTCTAGTATATAAACACTTAGATACTCAGCCTGTACTCTCCAGTCTGAAATCAAATAAGTTCTATCTGTAACTCTTGGCCTCAGACTTGGACTGTGACCCATGCAAGGGAATAGCACTGTGTCCTCAGTTGCTAAGTCCAATCAGTCCATCCCTTTGTATCTTTGTCTTTCCTCCTGATCCTGACCCCTCAGCCTTGCACCTGCTTCAGTCTCTGGTCTGGCCTCAACCTGGACATTATGAACTTGACACATCCACTCCACTGCCTCCACCATCCCCTTGAAGGCTAGTGCTCCCCTCTCATGTGCTTCTGCATGCCTCTCCATGGCCTGCAGCTGCCACTCCACTCCCACTCCACCCACTGTGTGTGGACCCTCACCCCTGAAGGGCCCTTGTGTGGTGTTGCTGGTTCCTCCTCCTCTTCACCTACCTCCCACTTGTTGTCCACCTCCTCTGGCTCCATTGCCATTGCCATTGCCTTCCCTCATGGCCTTTTCTTCTTCTCCCCTTGGGAGCTCCCTGTCCCCACTCTTTTTTGTGATGGCCCTGCCACCATGTCCTCCTTCATCCAGCTACATACCTTCTTTTTATTTTGACAGTGTACACAGGCCCTGGTCTTCCCTGACCCCTGTTCACACTGACCTGCCATTTGACCTGCTGTACAGTGGGTGCACAGGGCCCTCCTGGGTGCAGTGACCACCACAGAGGTCCCAGGGGCCCTCTAGGCAGTGTTGACATTGTATACTGTGCTGCATAACCTGTGAAATTCAACTTACAAGTCAGTTCCACCTGACTCATAGTGCTCTGCCACTCACCTTTGCACAGCCTCATCCCACCTGGCCTGAGCCCTCTCCTCTGAGACCCTCTGCCTCTACCTCTCTGCCTCCTCCACTGCCAGCTTCTTTTGCACCTCTTCTTCCTCTGCCACTTTCTTCCTTCAAGCCTCTTCCTCCTCTCGTTGCCTCCACTCCACTTCCAATTGCACCTCCACCACCTTGAATTGTTTGGCCTCCTCCCACTTGGCCTTGTGCTTTCTCTCCATCTGCTCTGCCTCCTCCCATTGGCAGGCCTTCTCTGTGGTCTTCTCCCTCTCAGTGTTAGTCAAGTCATTGGTGAGGATGACTAAGGCCTTGTCTGTGACCTGGGAGTAGTTGTGGGAGTGCCCTGGAGTTGGCTGGGGGGTTCTGCTCTGGTGCTGGGAAGACATGATGATGTGGGGAAAATACAAAGGTTCAGTACCCTAACACATGTTTTTAAGTGGGTCCTTCAAACTCTGATGGAGCTCTGATGCAGCTAGACCTGTTGTCCTTGAGGCATCAAAATAATTTCAAAATGATTGACTCATGTTGATCCCATTCTGTACATGTGGCCTTCAGGGGTTCAGGCCCTAAGGGGGGGGGGCACTGTCATGACCATGTATTTATCCTAAGTCCCCACTTGCTCCATGCTCTACTCTGCTAGTCTTTTCACTCACTCCATACCAACTTTGCCTGCCCTCTGTCACTTATAAACCTTCTCCAACCTGACTACTGTCAGACTTGGTACCAGCCACCATTGGACCATGCAGACTGTCCTCTAAGAGGTCATGTGACCTTTCTTTGGACTTCCCCTTGACAGCATGCACCTCATCATTTGGGTGTGTTCTGTGTTACTTGTCATATGTTCTCTGTCTTCCCTTCATTTGTCATCCAGGAAGTTTTACTTGAAAATTTATGAGTCTCTGTACATCAGTTCTGATTCTGGTTACTGTACCTCTGTAGTAGTATGAAAGCATGTACAGTACTCTGCTGTTCTTCAGTACAAATACCAACTGAGTTCCTACTCCTCTCTCCATCTTCTGTCTGGTCTCTACCTCTGAAATATGAGGTCTGAGATTATGCAAGGGGGTAGCACATGAGCTAAACCTGATGCCCTCACTCCATGGTCTCCAGACCTCTGTGCACCCTTGGTGCAGCCTCCAGGCCCAGACTTGGCCAGTCCCAGCCCTCAACACCTTCCCTGTTCCCCATTGGCACTTGGTTTCAGTGGTTTTTGGGTCTGGTCTCCACCCTTGGCCTTTGCTACACTGGCCTTGGAGCCCTGGCCCCCCTTTTCAGCCCCTAGACTGCTAGTTACTGGCCTGTCTGGCCTTGGTTTAGCATGTCCACACTCATCTGGACTTGTCTAAAGCTGGTCTGCCACTTCTCTTGGCCTTCTCTCCCTCACTATTGGCCATTCCAGCCTCAGTCTGATTCAGCCACCTCACCTGGACTTGTCTAGGCCTGCTACTAGGTCTTAGACTGGTCCTGGCCTTCCTCAGGCCCTCCTGTCCCTTGTCCCAGTCCTGCACTAGCCTCCTGGCCTTGGGAAGAGCACTTGTCCTTCAGACTTGCTCCTGGCCCTTGGTTCAGGTGGTCCCAGCTCATGCATGATACCTCCATTTCAGTCTAGGACTGGTCTGCTGGCCTTCTGGTCCTTAGCCTGGTCCCCAACCTCTTTTCTGGCCTCTCTTTTCACTGGAGGCACACCTGGGCATACCAGCCCTTCTCCTTTCCTGTACCTGCCTCTCTGGCCTCAGCATGGTGCTTGTCCTTTGGACTTGTCCCCAGCCCTTGGCTTGGGTACTCTTGTCTGGCACTCAACAACCCCAGTTTTGGTCTAGGACAGGTCTGCTGGTCCTCCAGCCCCTATCCTGGTCCTGGACCTTATTGCGGTCCTGGACCTTATTCTTGTCTGGTGTTTCATCTCTGGACTTCCTCATAACCTCTGACTGGTCTTGCTTACTCTGGACTTCCTTCTTTTCTTTTGGCTGGTCTCCTGTCTCTGGCCTCCCTCAGCCTCTGATACCCCTTTGGTAGCTCTGTGCTACCCCCTTGTCACTCCTTTGGCCTTTGGGCCTCTCCCTCCTCCTGGAACTACCCCTGACCTCTACCCCAGTGCTATGGTCTTGACCTAGCACCTTTGTCTGGTCCTTGGTGGACCCAGCCTTGGTTCTTTCTTGGTATCTGACCCCCTGTTTAACTGGCCTTGTCAACCCATTAGGGACTGAAGTACCTAGGCTGTAGGGAACCAACTAGCCCACTCAATAGGCACCTGTTGGTAGCCAAGTGTAGAGCAGTCACCTATCCCTGCCTAATACTAAATTTTGCTAACCCCCCTGACATCAACCCTGCCTTGGAGCATTAATTTGCTTGCAAGACAACCCTGGGCCTTGGCCCATCTGACAAACCCCCAACTCTGCTGGTCTTCTTCCCAGTTTGCCCACTTGCCCCAGAACTTGTATGTTCATGAGGCCCCTTTGGGCACCAGCTAACCACTCATCTTCCCCCTAACCATTGTTACTGTCACCCCACCATTGACTCTGGAACTCTGGTCCTATCCACTCTCCTGACTCTGATCTTACTGGTTGTCTTTGGCCTGCTGGCCTTCACTGGCCTTCTTGTTTCCTCTTGGGCTCTGGTTCCAGCCTTCATACCCCAACTTTTGACTCCAACACTCCTTACTACCCCTGTACCAGCCTGCCCTGCCCTGCTGGTCTTGTATCTCTGGTTTTAAAGCTTTTCCTGGCCTTGTAAAAGCTTCCCAGAACCAGTCTTGACACTTGTTAAGCCAGTCTCTGCATTTTCAGTACTCAGACTTACAACTCCAGTGGTAGGACTCCTACTACCCCATCCAGTACTCCTCTTGATGGTCCTGGCCTGTACCTTGTACCCCTATAGACTTGGGAAGTCTACCCTAAGAGGGGGATAATGGACCTCACTAGTGACCTACTCTTGTCCACACCCCAGTTTGTTACCTCTCTGGTGCCCTTGGCACAACCCTACTTAGTCCCTGCACACCAGTTCCCAGTCCCTTGGCCTGGTTCTTGCATACCAAGGCACCCCCAAACCACCCACCCCTGGGCCATTCCCAGCCCTTGACATTAGTATTGGTGTTCTGGTCTCACTACCTCAGTAGTCCTCAGCCTTGGTGATTATGTGTCCACCAGTCTCCCCAGTCTTGGCCTCCTGTTGTCAGCCCTTCAGCTGGATAACCCCTAGGCCTCATCCAGTCCCCAGACCCCCTGAACTGGTCCTCCAATGACTTTTAGCCCTTGGGCTTCTTGCCACAAGAAAACCCACCTCCAACCAACTCCAGACACCCCTAAACTGGACTCAACAGACTCACCTCTTGCTGACATCCCTAGGCCTTCATTGAACCAGTCTTATGACCTGCTGGTCCCTGGTTCATGCCTAGCTATGTCCAGCCCTCTGGTCCTTGTCCAGACTCAACTCTAGCTGTCCTAGACAGCCCCCCCAAGCCCTCTCCAGCCTGTTCCAAGGTACTTGGCACTCAGCCTTGCCACTCCTGGCCTCTGATTGCATCTTGCTACCCCTAGTTACCCCAGTCTCAGTGTTAGCCCACCAGCCTACACTGTTTTGGCCTCCTGTTATCAGCCCACCAGCTGGATAGCACCTCAGGTCACCTCTAATCACCCCAAACCCCTCCAACCTCTTCAGACCAGCCTTCAGCCAGTTGCTCTGGCCCTGCCCAACCCCATACCAGTCTCCCTTTGACATTTCTGGCCTTACAGCCCTGTCTGACTCCAGACCAGTCTCCAGCTAGCCCTTCTGGCCCTCACTGGCTCCTGACTGATCCCCACCTGGCTTTTCTAAGCCCTCCCTAACCATTATACTGGTCTCCAGCTGGCCCCTCTGGTCCTCTCTGACCCTCAGACTTGTTCCCAGCCTTCCCAGCCTTCTGTCCCCTTAACTGGTCTTCAGTCTTGCTGTTTCCCCCAGTCTGTGCTTTGGCACAACTTACTCTGGCCACCCTCAGTCTTAGCCTTTGGCTTTGACCCCTGCCTCTAGCTCTGGTTTCCTGTTCCCCTGTTACATGTTTTCTCAGTTTTCTGTTATCTATTCTCTTTTTCAGTAGATACATGTTTTCAGACCCTGTGACCCCCTGGAGCAGACCTTGGACCTGTCCCAGCCTTCTTGGCACTTTCATGACCCTCTGTACCCCTGCAATGCACTCCCAGTCCAACCAGTGCATTCCTAGACTGGTTCCCCAGTCTTCCTGGCACCCACCTGGCCTTTGTGCCACTCCAGTATCACTCAGGAGCACATCAGTACACTCCTGGACCATCCTTTGGTCACCTCTGGACCTCTCTGGACCCTCTTGGCCTCCATGTTGCCCTGAACTGGCTTTGAAGCACACCTCCAGTCCTAGTGGCATACCCCTGGTACATTTGTTGGACATTACCAGTCCCCTGTACATTTCCAGCCTCCAGTTTTCCCTGACCCAGCTCTGAAGCACACACCCCTGAGCCTTGCTTGGTCACTCCTGGCCTCCTTGTTGCCTTGACCCACCCCCAAGGTGTGACTCCAGCCCCCTGAAACACTGGCTTCAGCTTCTGCTGTCTCAAGAAACCCCTGTCCAGCTGGTCTAATCACTTCTGGACTCAGCTTTGCCTTGTCCCAGCCTGTTGAGCTACCAGGCAGCCTCCTAGACTGGTCTCCAGCCCTCCTTGTTGTCGCTTCTCTGGCCTCAGGTTCCCAGAACACTCCTTGGTCTTGATCCTTGTCCCCAGACCTGGCTTATGCCATTCCACTCTGAACTACCAGACCTCTGGTCATCGCTGCCCTGTTTCCTGGCCTACAGGCTCACCCTTGGCACTGTGTGTGCACTCAGACTCACTGCTAGTCATGTGACTACATTGTCTAACCCTCTGAGCATGTTTCTCTATGGAACCTCATGGGCTTGGTTCCTAAGAGGGGGATACTGTCATATCCATGACTCTCAGACTCAATCCTGGTTCAGTCCAGGCCCCTGGCCCCTATCTCTGGTCAAGTCTGGTCTAGTCTGGCCTAGAAAACCTAACTCCAGCCCTAGAAAACCCAACTCCAGCCTAAATAACTCAAGTCCAGTCATCTACCCCTATCTCCAGTCCACTCCAGCCTCCTGGCCTTGCACTGCTCCACTCTGGTCCTCCCAGGTCCATGTCTGGGTCACCCAGACATAACTCTGGTCTGTTTTCCATTGTTTGTACTATATTTAGTCTAGTCCTTTTGTCTGACTCTGGTCATGCCAGTCACCCAGACTTTGACTATTAGCCTCAGCACAGCCTCTGTGGCTGTACACACTCTTGCTAATCATCTTGCTAATAGCTTATTCACAAGTCCAGCTTCACATTCATTACTCCAGACCAGCCTCATGTATTTAACCCCTGTACATACTTTGTAGCACCTCAGTCAGAATATCAACTTAGTATTACCCTCAACTTAGTATTACCCTCAACTCTGTACTACCCTTGGATCTACTATATAGCTAAGGCTGAGCCTTAAGCTATCCCCAGCCCCTGTCCCAGACCTCTCCCTGGCTTGCATAAGGGTACAGCACATAAGCTGAGACCAAGGGAGGTAGATCCAACCCTGGACCAGCTTCCCCTTGTGTGTGCTCCAAGAATGGTCACTTTCCCACACTCCTGGCCTTAACTCTGGTCCAACCAGACTTGGCCCCTGTCTGCCAGCCTTGATTCTAGTCAACTGGACTTAGCCCCTGACACCCAGTCTTGAAGCCCAGTCACTTGAGGGTAAACCTGTACTTCACACCTTTGTTGCATCTGAAGGTGTGCCAAGTGCATCACATCATGCTTTTGAATGAGTGCAAACACAACAAATGGGAATGAGTGGTGAGTGGAAAACTATTGGTCATGATACTGCAATGCCCATTGACAATGTTCTTGCAGGCCCAACTTTGTTGCCCAATCATCCTCAATCCCACCAATTCCATACAGAAAGAGTGTGGGGAAAGCAGCTGCAAGTGGATTTGGACTCCCATTCCTCATAGCATCTGAGCAAAAATCCATGATAGGTGTGGTGCCATGGTGCATGACATAACCCCCTTCCTGAGTTGAACCATTCAGGTTGGCAAGAGCATGGACATCAGCTCCAAAGATGACATCTTTGTGAGGTCTGTATCAGTCACAGTGAGGACATGCAGAGGTAAGACATCACCTAACCAAGAATATCAATGACAGGGCACAGCTTTGGGCAGAGACATGTAGACATACTGTGATTGTCAATTCCACTCACACTGTCATCCTCCATTGCCATCACATTGTTGTCCTCCATGATTAAGTCTGCCATCTCAAGAGATATGTCTGTGAGATATGGAGTGCCAGAGGTGAGACATCTGTTACAATCATGAGACCTGGGAGGTGACCTGCCTTCACAATCAATCATGTCAGTCATTGCATACCCCTCTCACTCACAGACAGCCATGAGCTCATCCTCATCTAGGTGAATCAAGGCCTCAATTTCAGGAGGTATGTTGTCATCTGGAAGTTCATTAATACATTCTTCTGATATGTTGATGTCTCTGTAGATGTTATTGTTTTCTCACAACCATTGGAGTGCATTGCATATTGCATCACATCAGACATGGAAGGTGTGGTTTAGCCAGTTTGTGGGCAGCTGCTTGGTGGCCATAAAGTGATTGTGAGAATGTTGCTCATAGAGTGCATGGTGTGAGGTATCATATGTCCTTGCACCATGTCCATGATAGCTGAACTGTTTATTTCATACAGTGTGACATTACCAGCCATTGCCCACTGCAGATGTCTAGGGTTGAATGATTGTGATCCATCCCTTAGGTACAACTTGAACACATAACAATATGGATAGTGACATGCAATGAGGGGAGTTTCAACAAATGTTAGTTTGCACAGAACAAGAGGCAGGTCTCCAAGCCATAGGTTGTTGTTGAGTGCCAGACATGGCAAGTGATTTGCATGCAAGGCTCAGAGACATTCATGACATACCCACCCATGGCCAGCATCATCCACATGTGTACCCAATATCAGAAGACCATACCAAAGGGAGTGAGCTGGATGGGCTTTCTGTGGATGAAAATGCCATTGTATGTTGGGTAGGTCTATCATGGTCTGCATCTCTCCATGTTTTCCCATGATTTCCTGACCACAGATGATGCAGATTGCACATCATTGAGCCTCATTGCCTGTGGTGTCAACAAAACCTGAAATGCAATTCTGCACCTCATGTGTGGTATGTCAAAGTTGCACAACACCCCTGACTTCCTCTTGGAGTGGAGTAGGAGTGGGTTGGGCTGCAGAATACAAGGGTCAAAGTCTGAAGTGAATCTGACCACTGGGTGGTGAGATATGCAATGAACAAGGAGCAGAGGAGTACAGAGGGAAGTTTCAGGGACAGAGGTTGGAGTCAGAGTTTGGAGGTCAGATGGGAGGGCATTGGGTTCAGCTAGTGCACTGCCCCCTTACATGAGCTCAGCCCTCATATTTCGGAGGGAGAGTGGACTCAGAGGGAGTTGGAAGTGGGGACTTTATTGTCAATATTCATACTGATTACATCAGAGTATTACATGGCCTTATACACAATATAGGTCAAGGGCAGGGCAGTGTAGAATGCAAGCCAATAAACATATAACAGGTTAGGAGTACCTCTGACACAAGGGATAGAGGATAGGGATGACAGGGACCTTAACTGAGACAAGGGAACTACTACAATAAGGGGAAAAAGGGTAAATACTGATGCAGTGGAAGAATGGAGAAAAGCTGACACAAGGGTAGAACCCTAACTGGAATGTAGGGTGGTAAGTCTGACATCCTGCCAAGCTGACCAAGGTCCTGGAGGAGGCACAGGTGAAGATCTAGCCTTCACATGACTGGCCTGAGAGTGGAGGTGGTTGGAGGTGGTTGGAATGTGGACAGGGGACCTTGGAGAGGTGCAGAGATGTGTCAGGAGGGTTGGAGAAGTGTGGGAATGTGTCGGAAGAGGGTGGAGAAAGGTTCCCAGGGTGCAGAAGAGGGCAGAGTAGATGTTAGGGGCTTATGCTGATGTCATGGTCATGACATGGTAGGCAACTGCATGTAAAGGTGTGTGTCCACACTATCAACTTCATTGTGCTCAACAATGCTTGTCTTTGGCACACAGGGTTCCCCCCATTTTGGATGTTTTGCTCTCAACCACACCTGTTGCTCACTGTTGGCTTTGCTGTTTGCACTTCAATGCCATGTTGCCTTTGGCAGCTGCAGCCAGAGAAATGTGATCTTTGACATTGTTGGGAAGCAGATGAATTGCTGGACCAAGATCAGCCCACTTTTGTAATTTCAGAGACAGTGTACCAGAGGGAGCAGCCTTGAGTACCTCTTGGCATGTGAGATGTCCCCACAACTCAGGCATCAGTGCTCAGATTTGCACAGGTCAGATATACTACATGTCTTATATGTTGCCCCAACCCCTTTCCCTAAGGCCCCTTTACAATTGACATCCCATGCACCCCTTAAAAGAAATCACTCAAATATGACCTCATGCCCTAAGGGTATTCTCCAGCCATCTGTTACAGTCATTGACCATGACATCCAGTGCAGAACCTACCAATGGTGCCCATGTGCAGTCTGAGATCTCAGCCATTGATGATCCCACAGATTTGAATACCATAGATGACATAACAGAGGTCTCCACAGAGTGACATGCCACCAGCACTAGCCAAAATAGTAGACAATCTCAAGCAGAGTGATGTGGCCTTCTACATGGCCACACTGAACATTGCCAGTTGAGGTGGATTTTTCATGGGGCACCCATCTGGCAATGTTGCAGTTGTTAAAGGGAATGGGGATGACATTGTTGAGATGATCCTCAGTGGTATCTTTGAAATTGACTGTCAAGGCTTTTTTATGGAACCAGAGGGTGGATGTTTTCCATCAAATGCATACAACAAGGAGTTTGTTGATATGAAACTGTCATGCAACCTAATTGCTGTTCAGCATGATTCTATATATGGCTCAAGCCAACAAGACTTCCCTGCCATTGTGGCTAATTTGTGCACCCTAGAGAAGCTCATTCTTTGTATGAAAGGGTGAGGACCATGTTGTCATGTGTGTGGGAAAATCATGGACAGGCATGCATTTGTCTCAATCACACACTCTTTGTGGTATGCTTGCTTGTCCTGCTAGATACACAACTCTGAGACCAATTTCCACACCAAAAATATGGACACCAATCCTGAAACAGCCATTGATGATGGTGAGATGTGGTGTCTGGCCTGCAAGCTTGATGCTGATGTAGTCAACAGAGGTGAGAATGACAGAGTGGCCAGTGCAAGAGTGGCTGAGAGGGGCGCTGGTGCAAGCTACAGAGACTCCCAATATATCACCTCTTCCAGGTCTTTGATCTCAATGGTGAGAGTATTGACCCATCAGATTACATTCACAAGCTCTCTGGTGCCATTGTTCATGTGCACTTTGCACTGGTTGACTACTCAATCAGTGGCAACAAGAAGTCTGTTTTCATGGCAGTCATTTGTGACATTGTCATTTTGTGAGAACCAGTTGTGGCCCCTGTGAGTCCACTGAAGCAAGGGTGCAGTGTCCACAAACCAAAGGTGTTGTGGACATGGTTACAGCTGAGTCTGCATAACTCATCAACAAGTTGTGTGCCATGCCATGCAAATGAAGACTAAAGGATTGCATTGTGTTGGAAAACCTTCTACCCTCACACAACTCTGCAAACTTGCTCAGACCATCAATGTGTGCTACTGGGAGCATAAAGCAGAGGTCTTGCACACCACCAAGTCCACCACTGACAAGTCACAGTCCTCCAACTCTGACAACAAGCCTAAATCATTGTCCTCTGCCTCCACTCCAAGGTCTGATGCCAAGGGCAAGGGCAAACAGAAAGACCCACCCAAGTCTGATTTGTCCAAGTCCAATATTGCCCATCTTCTGGGCAAGGATGGCAAACTCACCTCTGCTGAATGACAGTGCAGGATGAAAAACAACCTCTGCCTCTTCTGTGGTGAGGCTGGCCACTCTGCCAAGGACTGTCCCAAGTCTACCTCTCACACAGCCAAAGCCCATGCAGCCACAACTGGAACTCTGCCTCCTCCACCTGTGGAGAAGGCAGGGCCAAAAAATTAGTCTGCTCCTCCAGGGAGCTCACACAGCCTGGAGGAAGCATTGATCCCAACTGTGCACAACTGGACATCTGACTCAACATGTCCACTCTCTCTAGTCCCAATTCTTTACTTCCATCTGTAACTCTTCTTGATTATTCTGTTGATACTGTTTCTGCATTGATTGATTCTGGCTCTTCTCATTGTTTTGTAGACCCATCCATAATCAAAAAAATATGCTATTCCTGTTTCCTCCATTTCTCCACCAATTCCACTCTGCTTGTTTGATGGTAGTACAAATGCTGTCATTTCCTAAGAAGTAGATCTTTCCCTCCACTTTCCTTCTGGTGATGTCAACTCTGTTTCATTTTATGTTACTCCATTGGATTCTTCATGTTTGCTGGTATTAGGACACAACTGGCTCACCTACTTCAATCTGTTGATTGACTGGGTACTGGGCAGTATATCATTCAAACCATTGTTACAGGGAATGCTGACACCCCAGGTGCCTTTGTCACCTTCTGCTGCGACCTCTGCTCTGGATCTAACACCCTCCATTCCATCTGCAGCTCCAACTGCACCTCTGACAGACTCACCATGCTCTGCTCTGCTCATCCCACTTATCAATGCTGCTGTGTATGTCACAGCCTGTGCTCTCCCTGGCTCTAGACAGTTCCACCTGCAGCTCTCCACTGATGATGTGAAGCTTCATGTGTCCTCCACTTCTTCTCTGCCTCCTGACCTCACCTTGGTCCCTCCTGAGTATCATGAGTTTGCCAACATCTTTAGTAAAGACAAGGTTACAGAACTTCTGCCATACCACTCATTTGATCTCAAGATTGACCTCAAGGAAGGAGCTTCTCCACCCATTGGCACAATTTACTCTCTGTCTCCACCAGAGCTTGAAGCTCTCCACACCTTCATTGACAAGCATCTTGGCTACAGTTTCATCAAGCAGTCCACCTCCACTCATGGTGCCTCTGTCCTCTTTGTAAAGAAGAAGGATGGTTCACTCCACCTCTGTGTAGACTATCAAGGACTCAACAAAATCACAAAAAAAGATTACTATCTGCTGCCACTCATCTCTGACCTACTTGACTCTCCAAGCTGCACTAAAGTCTACACCAAGATCAACCTCCACCATGCCTATCATCTAGTCTGTATCACAGATGAAGATGAATGGAAAATGGCTTTCCACACTCATTATGGTTCTCATGAGTGGTGGGAAATGCCATTTGGTCTGACTAATGCACCTGCAGCTTTCCAGTAATTTGTTAATAGCATCTTTGCAGACATGCTCAATATCTGTGTCATGGTATACCTTGATGACATCCTAATTTATTTGCAGGGCATGGAGTCACATTGCAACCATGTAAAAGAGGTACTCCACTGCCTTTGAAAGCATGGTCTCTATGCCAAGCTGGAGAAGTGTGAGTTTCACTCCAACTCTGTTGAGTACCTCAGTTATGTTCTTTCTCCCTCTGGTCTCACCATGTCTTCTGGGAAGGTTCAGGCAGTCCACAACTGGCCTGAGCTGTGGAAGGTGTGAGACATCCAGTCTTTCCTTGGCTTTGCAAATTTCTAAAATTTCTACAGACAATTCATTAATAACTACTCCAACATCATTGTTCCACTCACTTGCCTCACACAAAAGAGTGCTCCTTGGAACTTTACTGAGGAGTGCCACTCTGCTTTCCTCTGCCTAAAGGATGCCTTCAGCTTGTTAAGATATCCACAAACTGAGGCCACTTGTGCCCAGTGTAAGAGACTGTATTCAAGGGAATACTACATAAGACATACCTTGTGCCCAGTGTAAGAGACTGAAGAAAATTTCACTGGGCACACAACAGTAAGTGCGCAAAAATGATAAACAAAGGTAAACAATAAACAAAAGCAAACCAAGGACACTTAGAGCGAATCTAAGTGTCCACTACATGTCTGTAGGGTTAGGTAGAAATAACACAGAGGAGAAATGCAGTCCTGAGGTGCACAGGCACCTAATATGAACACTCCCCCCTGAATGTGCACCTCTGCACTCAACTGCTCCCCCCTGATGCACCAAGTCCTAGCATCCTGCAGAAACCGATGACCTTGGTGCGATGTAGTGGTTTGGTGAGAAGATCGGCAGCCTGGTTCACTGTAGGGACAAAAATAGGCGAAATCAGGTTCTGCTGAACTGCATCTCTTAGCCAGTAGTAGCAGAGGTCAAGTTGCTTCATCCTCCCATGATGTTCTGGGTTCTTGGCCACAGAGATCGCAGATTGGTTGTCAATGCGAAGGGTAGAAGCATCTGGGAGAGGGAGGCCAATTTCCTGCAACAGATTTCGCATCCACTTGATCTCCTTGCCTGCTTGGACTGCAGCAATATACTCTGCTTCAGTGGTGGACAAAGCGACCACTCCCTGTAGCTTGGAGGACCAGGAAACTGCACCAGTACCCATCTTGACCACATATCCACCAGTGGAGCGACCAGAATCCTTGCAACCACCATGATCAGCATCAGAAAAGGTTGTAAATAGCTCAGAGGTCGAAGGATCAGGAGCATAGGTGATGGAATAGTCCAGAGTGCCTTTCAGGTAGCGCATCAGGTGTTTTACAGCTTGCCAGTGAGCCCAGCCTGGGTTAGAGTTGAATCTGGCCAGTACTCCGACAGTATAGGCTATATCTGGTCGAGTTGTGGTGGCCAAGTACATCAGGGCACCCACAGCAGATAGATAGGGAACCTGGCGCATTTGTTCGACTTCCTGAGGGTTCTGAGGCGATTGCTGGCGAGATAGGCGAAGGTTGGGTTCCATAGGTGTGGAAATGGGCTTACAGTCTGCCATTCCAAATCTGGTCAAGACATCCAGGCAGTATTGTCGCTGGGAGATGGATATGGAGCGATTGGGGCGGTCTCTGTCGATTTTGATGCCCAGGAGTTGAGTTGTAGGGCCCAGATCGCGAATTTTGAAGTGCTGGCTCAGTTGTGAGACAAAGGAGTCGATGGCAGTCTCAGATTTCGAAGCTAGAGTCATATCATCCACAAACACAGGCAGAATGATGGTTACTCCATCCTTGGAGTAGATATAGATGCTAGCATCAGAGTAGGTCTGTCTGAAGCCAAGGGACTCGAGCACAGAGCGCATCTTCTTGTTCCAGCGATTTCCGCCCTGTTTGCTGCCATAGATCGCTTTCTGGAGCAGGCACACCTGAGATTTTGGGTCTCCCTCCACAAATCCTTCTGGTTGGGTCATGTAGACCTCACAGTCCATCTCCCCATTGAGATAGGCATGAGAGACATCCACAGAGC